GATGACTACATCTTATCTTCTGGGGCAACTTTTCTCAGATGCGGATCGATTTCTGCTGCCTTGCTGGCATCTGCCCCAGCCAGTTTCATCCTTCAGCATGGGGGCTCATATCTGCTTATCAGGTTCTCTCGGACCTGTCTAGGACCCGCATATGTGGCTCTACGGTGTTGCTGCCGTATCAGCTTCGCAACCTAACCGCCGATGCTCTTTGCCACACAGGGGATGGCTGTGTTGCCCCATTCTTAGGGACTGCTCAGGGAGTCGCGACTGGCGCGAGCGATACTCCTTCTGGACAGTGCCGCTGGATGTCAATATCCAACTCATTTGACGCCCACGCGGCAGATCCGGTAAGCGTCGCCGTATTCCTCCCTTGTTTACCTTGATCGCTTAATCTGACCACTGATCGGAGCGTCTGTGTTGTTGAGTTCCGTGATGCCATCGGCCTTTGGACAGGTCGAGCTGTACCGGCTGCTTGCTTTAGATGAGTGTTTTAGGTCATTCGACTTCCTGCTCTTGCCCATGAGCATCATGGCGAGCTCTCTCATCACGCCGTCTCACGTGACGCTGGATATCTCAGGTAATGATCCTGAATTTTTTGCTACGTTAACTTTGCAGACTACGTTTTCTAATTTTACTTCGGCAGGTTCTTCGGACCGGATCGAGGAAGTGTGGGGTCTTTATGCCCCAGGTGTCAACTATCCAACTCGAGGATGAATGTGCAAACGCCGCGCCGGAGGCGTCGTGCCGATTCTCCCACCAGAAAGACGTCATCTCGGCCCTCACACCGGAGGCGCCACCCCGGGTCCCCCATGGTGAGGGTGACGTGGTCTCCTGGTCCTTCTTTAGTCTGTCGTGGGCTCTTCTCCATGGATTCTGACTCTTCTGCCGGCTGTGATGCTTTGAGCGAGGCGGATGCTCTCCAATACTTATGGACTGTGGAGGTTTCCGGGACCGCACAAGCTGTTACTTTGGTCCCTGCTTCGCCGAGTTCGTCGAAGGCGATGAGCGTCTTTATGGAGTCGGAGCTGATGTTTGTACCTCCTCGTCTGACCGCTACTTCGACACATGAACTCACCGGGTGGCGGTTGACCGCTTCGGAACTCACACGCTCACTGGACGCGGTAAGTCATTTTTCGGGACTTCTTCCCTCTTCGCTTCTTGGTGATTGCCTTACCCTTTTCTTTGCTTTTGACAGAGCCAACGCTTGCTCGAGATGTTGGAGCATGAATTCCACGCGGCGGAGCAGCGTGAACGCGGCCTTACTGATAGGGCTAGCGAGCTTCAGGTTGAACTGCTCGTGACTTGAGACCAACTCGCGGAGACACAGGCTTTCGCCCGGGGAAAAGATCTGAGCGCGAAGGTGAGGTACCTGACAATGGTGTTAGCTGATAGCCAACGGGACTTGAAAACCCGCAACTCAGAGGTACAAATGCTTTTCGAAACCATGGTAGTGTACAGGAGGTTCACTCCTGGGGCCGATACGGACCTCATGCTGATGGCTGCCGAGGCTTTCACGAACAGCCAGACAACTATCGGCTTGCTCTGGCAGGAGCTCAAAGAGTAGCGTCGGCGGAATGGGTCACGGGGGACGAATGCTTCAGGGGCAGCAAGAGGTGCTGGAGGCGCTGGTCCTTCTTCACCGGCGAGATCTTCATGTCCGCCGTGTTTTTATATTAAATAATCTTCTTTTTTGGGGCTTTCTATCCCTTGTAAAATGTAACTTTGAACTTTGGATCGGTGGCCGCTTTTGACCTTTTTAATGTATTTCATGTTTTTTCTAGCACATCTTATGCGCTCTTTCGTGTTTTGCCTTGTTTTGTGAGTCTGGCTTCTTGACTTTGGGGCCAGTACGCGTGATGGTCTCGGAGTCTCGAGTCTTGATGAGTAGAACCCTGCCGCATAGCGTGCTTCCTTCGTTGAACGCTTGCCGGTAATCCTCTCTCCTTCTAGCGCCAATTATTTGGGAGTAAATTTCGGGATGCCACATGGAGGTGTGTGATACGTCCGGGGAGTGGAGTTGTGTCTCCGAGTTTCGTCCTCTGGAGGGAAGCCGACGAGATATTCTGAGGCGGAAGCTGATTCGGGTCCCATCAATGGGATAGTAACGGGTCCGGCCCTGCAAGCAATATACGAAAGGTCAATCAGGCCTCCGGGAAGACCGAAAGGGGGTTTCTTTCCGGAAGGTTCTCCGACGCCGAAGTCAATAAATGCCCCACCGGGAACAAGTACTCAGGAGGGTGTTTCTCTACGGGTTCGGGTGAGAAGTCTCGTCCGAGGATCGAGACATCTATCTGTTTACGAGTGTTTTGAGGGGGGTTATATAATGAAAGAATGAGAACCAGCGAATATAAAGGCAGGGTTCTGGATCAAGAAGAACTTATCCTGGTATGCATTATCTCGAGAGAACGGGAAGGTTCTCTCTCGATTATGCTGTTCGGCGGTGCAGGTCGATACAGGGTGGTCGGACTTCTTATCCTTTGATCGAGTTCCCAAAGTAGGTCCCTTAGATTGGGTCCGCCGAGCCGATCCTCTTCTTGTGGGGGGATCTCTCTCCTTTTGTACTAGTCTTCTTCATGGCATGCCCTCTCCATTCGGTGCGCCAGAGGAGCAGTTGGGCTAATGATTTATGCGTGTTTGGGGAAGCTCGCCAACTGCCGGGGAATAGTGCATGGGAGTGTGATACAATATCAAAAATCAGTAAATCAAGGGTCTTCAATATGTGAATTATTATTAGAATCTGTTCTTCATAATTATCAAAGTCAAAATATTCTCATTCAAGTCCAAAGCAAGATTGGTGGCAAGAAGACTATTATTTGATTTAGCTTATTTTTCTCTTTTTGTTTAAATATTAATAATTTAAATTAAATATAATTTATTGTAAAGATTCTTTGTAAAAGCTATAAAAGCTCATTGTTCTCATTGTAAAAATATATATAAATTTTTAGAAATTAAAAGAGATTTTTCTCTAAAGCTTTGACTTTGTTTTTGTTTATCTAAGCAAGATGAAATTCTTTACTTAATAAACATTTGAATCTATGTCTTTTGTGTGCAATGCCTTGAGACTAGCTTTGTGAATTCATCACAGGGGTTTTCACACCCTTGAGTGGTCTTCTTCGATCCACCCATCTATTCATCTCATCCACTGATCCAGCCTGAAAGAGACTTGAGTCCAGCAGGATTTATCCCATAACCATCCACTTCGATCATCTCTTGAACAAGTAGAAAGAGACTTCAGTTCAGCTGTTTGCTTCCACCCATTCACCCAAGCATTACAAGATCATACCCCTTGATCTTATATCAGAGTGGTTCGACCGAGCTAACATGGCATGTGTCAGGGTTTATGGTAGTTTGATGTCCACGTGTCGCGTCCTCCTTGGATGTAAAATAATTACAATTGTATAGGACTTGATTGGTTGTTGCTTTACATTTTGTGCACAACAATACTTGGGTCTACAGCTTAAATATGTGCCAGTTATGCTTTATAAATATTGTCTTTCTTTTATTTGCTTATAGCCAAAATATTTTTTATTTTTATTTTTATTTTTTCTAGTTGTACAAAACATTTTTTTCTATAGCATATAAGTTTATGCTTTCCAAATTTTACAATACTACAACCAAAGTTTTTAAAAAATAAAATCTATAGCTACAGCAAAAAAAAACTACACTTATATTTCTATAGCAAAAACGTAAATATACTGTTGTTGCCAATCAAACCTATAGTTTAACGTTTGTTATAAGATAAATTGTAAAACATTAAATCAAATAGAAAATCACTTCTTTAACAAACTTTCTTCTCTCAAACTCTCTTTCATAATACTTATATATAATATATATATTGGGGACCCACGAGGGGCCAACACATGGATAACAGACGCGGTGGAAATCTGAGATGCATTAAATGCGTCGCACCTACCAAAAAAAGCTGCAATGATGGCGACTCGGAGAAGGCGGAGCAGGTCAACAATTTTCTCTCTAACTACATGTATGGAAGAGTCCAAGAATTGTAATAATCATGTAAAAGACAGAAGTAAGTACCCGATCCGAGGAAACTAGAAACATGTATCCGAGCCCGATCCTGAACCAAGTATCTCCTATAAAAACACGCTCCTCGCACCAACGAGAGGAGGAAAAGATATCTAGGACGTTAAATTCATTTTCTAGCTTCATTTTCGCTAAAGAATACGACTCCCAAAAGCTCTATTAAGATCCCTTCGAGTTGATAGAACACCCCTTACTCCATTCTTCTGATACTTTAACATGTCTCGACCAGTCCCGTGTCTTTTTTTACTAGAGCGTCAGAACGTAATCGGAAGGGTAATCATTTTCCAATTCACCGAGATTTTCTTTCCTTATTACTTCATTGCAGACTAATACATCCCCAGAATTCAAATCTCCCTCGTACGACTAACGACCAATCAAATTTCTAAATTTGTTCCCAAATAATATATATATAATTATTTATTACAAATGCTATTATTAAATTTTGAAAACCTTATTCCATTTCGCCATCTTATATACTCGGAAAGTTGTATTTTGCGAAAACGAGAAAAAAAAAAAAAGAAAAAAAAAAGATAATTTAAAAATTTGTGCGCACATTACATGCGCGGCCGTCATCTAGATTCGGCCGTTATCTAGAATAATTTTTAAAATCGTTTGGTTTTCGACGTCAACAAGTAACAACAACATCCCGTCATCATGCCGTTGACCTTAATTTGCTATTTCGTTTAATATCAACCGTTGGATCCTCTGCGCGGCTTGATAGATGAGATTGCTTCGTTCATTTTTCTAAGAGAAATTTATTATTCCTTTTGTTTTTCCTTTTTAAATAAATAACAATTTGTTATAGATAACAATTTTCATAAAATTAATAATTAAACTACAAAAGACCGACTTCCCCCTTCCTATAAAAGCCGATTCGACAGTAACAAAACTACAGTATTCATTCATTCAGCAAAAATCATCAAAAAAAAAAAAAAAACTCTTACAAGCTTAACAGAAAAATGGCCGGAGAAGGAGAAGTTATTGCTTGCCACACCCTCGAAGTCTGGAACGAGAAGATCAAAGCTGCTAACGAATCCAAGAAACTGGTAACTTATTAGGGTTTTTCAGTTTTCAATTTGATTAGGTTTCTTTTTGATGCACACGAAAAATAGTTCTGATTGTCAAAAATTGAATTTTGAAAACAGATCGTGATAGACTTCACTGCTACATGGTGCCCACCTTGCCGATTCATCGCACCAGTCTTTGTAGACATGGCTAAAAAGTTCCTCAATGTTGTCTTCTTCAAGATCGATGTAGACGAATTGCAATCCGTCGCTAAAGAATTCAAAGTCGAAGCAATGCCAACTTTTCTCTTCATGAAAGAAGGAGAAATCGTCGATCGTGTTGTTGGCGCAAGGAAAGAGGAGATTCATCAGGCAGTGATGAAGCATGGTGGTCTTGTTGCTTCTGCTTGATCAAAATTCCAAAATTTATAATCTCTACCTTCATAAAAAGTTTTCATCTTGGTATGAAATAAAGTAATGCTTTTGTGTAAGGTTTCTTTCTAGTTTTCTGATCAATTTCCAAAATTTCTAATCTTTTTACGTTAAAAGTTTTTTTTTTTTTTTTTAAATCAAGTGATGCAATTATAAACTAATGGTCGTGTTGTGCCTTTGCTTCATCAAAATTCCAAATTATAATCTTTATTTTCTTCAGGTTTATATCCTTTTGCTCTTTGTTATGAAATAAAGTGATGCAATTATAAACTAATCTCTCAATTCGATTCACAAGAATATTGATTATATACTGATCTCTTTACAACAGAGACTTTAGATTGGTCTTGTGACTTCTGCTTGATCAAAATTCCAAATTTCCAATTTTTACTTTCATAAAGCTTTCATCTCTGGTATGAAATAAAGTGATGCATTTTAAAACTATCTTGATTCCATTCACAAGAAAGATTGATAATTTAGCAACAGCATGAGTAATGCTTTTATATAATGTGCTTCGTTACTTTACTGATCTCTTTACAACAGAGACTTTGGATATATCTCCACCGAGTTCTTCAAAGAGTACTAATAAGTTCCCTCTTGGCTTCAACCACGAACGTGGAACATGATACCTAGAACAAAAACACACACAAAGGACTCGATTTTAACACGACAAGAGAGCTCATAAAGGTCCGGTTTTTAAGAAACAGAGCATTGTTCTTACCATCTTTGTGTCGCTTTGCCGCAACCGGATTGACATTTGGCTTGCCTGTATGTTCCTGCGTAGTTACAATCCCCACAGTTTCCTTTAGCAAAAGCCATCCAGTATCTCCCTAGGCTTTGTCCGTTTATCCAAGCTTGCCCTTTCCCCATACTCTTTAGATCCAAAGCTAATGGCTCCTTCCCTCTAGGCGCGTCGAAATAGGCCTACGAATGTAATAAGCAAAGACATAGTTAGTGGGTCTACTTGAACAAGTTTCATCTTGGTCAAGCCTTAGCTATAGGTCTACTATACAAGTCTATAACTATCCTAAAAGCTGATACAACAGCTTATAGAGAGGGCTGGCTTTATAAAGAGGTCGCAGCCAGATTGGTTTGGTTTGGTTTGGTTTGATGTGTTCTTGATTCATGTTGTTATTTGTTTATCATTTGGAAATATAAGTAGAAATCAGTTTGGTTAAGGATGAGTTTGAAGCAGAGTTTCTTGTTTACCTTGTACCATGTCAATGGTTGTTTGTTTTGCTTAGCTAATGAGCCTTTGATCCAATCAACAGATGAAGCTTCTGTAGGAGAGATCAAGTTCAATGCTTCACCTCGCAGACCAACCTGTTTTAATTACCCGAAAAGGTGAAAATGTAACTTAGTTACAGTAGTTGAAATGGGTGAGAGAACCAATGAAAGTTAATTCTTTTTCTTGTATGATCTTCTTTTCATCTTTACCTGATATGTCCATTTCTGGCGGCTCAAGTCTTTATTACCCTCATCAAGACCATGAACCGCGACTGAACCGACAATTCCGGTGGCCCACGTCTCAAAATGTGGTCCAACGTTCTTCAAAAACCATACAAAAAAGGAAAGCTTTCTTTATCAGTCTGCAACAAGAAAAGCTTTAACACAAAAGTGTGCTCTAAAGTTTAAACTTACTGGCAAACCAACTGCTATGCTCAGTAGCGCTATTCTGTTAGCTCCGCCGCGAAGATTGACCGGTGAGCTAAACGAAAACCTTCTGCTTTCCCTTGTCCCAAAGGCGGATCCTGCGTCGTTCAGAGCGATGAAACAGCTGCTTTCTTAGAGAGTGAGTTAACCAAAGGAATGACTCTTTACCATAGAAATGTCCATTAACAAACACATGAACAGCATGCCCTGCAGAATCCACCGTAAGAGTTGGCCATTTCCCTCCACGCAAGAACGATTCCGATGACTTAATATCCACACTGTAAACCCCAAGAAACAACTTCAAGAACAAAGCTTTGATAAGCAAAGATAGAGGTTAAAGAGATAGAAAATGTACCTGGTTATGTACCAGAGGTAGTCACTTGTATCTCTTGTAACATTCACCTGATCCAACAATCCAAGAGCTGTGATTGTTCCTCTGTCTCCATAAGTAGCAATATATTCATCATATCTAGCAACCGAGTACAGGATTGAGCCAGATGGAACCATTTGCACATGTGATGTCTTTGCACCAACCTGTCTTACACCAACTTCACATTAGCTTCTTCATGATGCAACAAACAGGCTTTGATTCCATTTCCCAACAAAAATAGCAACTCTTTTTTAACATACCGTCGCAGTGTTGAAGACAACGTTTTTGCAATCAGGAAGAATGCTGATGGACCAAGCAGGAAGAGTATAGTGACGGTTATTGAACTCTACTTTTGCAGGTTCATTCATGTGATAGTTTGATAGGAAAGCTACACAACTTCCTTTACCAGCAGAGAACACATGAGCCTTCTCGTAGTTTCCTAGTTTAGTAATGGTTGGATCAGAGGAAACTAAAGCAGATTCACATTGCTTAATTGCTTGGTGAAGCTGCTTAAGATGGCTGTACTTGGGCTCTTGAACCAACCCTGCATCATCGGAAAACTACTGAGTTTAAGTCAAAACGTTGAAAGAGAAATAAGATTTTGCACAAGTTGATTGAAAGATAATCATACCGTATTCATCAATGGGAGCATCATAGTCATAACTAGTGGTGATAAATGGACCTCCTGCTGTTCTTCCAAAGTTTGTTCCTCCATGGTACTGTCACAACACATCAAGCGTCAAGATGAAACTGAAACCAAAAACCGGAACGAAAAACAGAGTTTTAGTAATGTTTGTGCAAGGACATTACCATGTAATAGTTTATATACGATCCACCCTTTTGTATGAAACGTGCCACTCCAAATGCTAAATCCTCTACAGGTCGTTTTGGAATGGTTCCACCAAACTCTGTGAACCTTTTCACGATCATTGTGAACAAACAACACAATTAATACACACATTTTGTGTCACTCTTACAAGATTATATCAAAGAAAAGTAATCCTCTTTTACCAGCCACTCCATGCTTCTGTCCACATCGTTGGTTTATATGGTTTGTTTGGAGTAAAGTAATCACAGTAGAATCCATTACAAGCGTTTATCTACAAACAAGAGCCGCAAGAAACTATATTAGAACATAGTCTTATGAAATCACACAAAAAGATTAAAAGATTGGTTCTCACGATAGGATCAGGTGCATCATCTTCCTTGCACATCACCCATGGGACTCCAGTGTTTAATCCAACCGCCATTTTTGCGGCCCAATTAACGTATGAGTGACCAGCAGGTCCAAGCCCTTTAAGCTCTGGTCCAAACTCATTCTCAATCTACATTTAAAAAAATATTTAACCTTTAAAGCATGTATCTGCAATAGATTAAACTTTTGAAGCATCTAACTACAAAAGATTAAACCTTTTGAAGCATCTATCTACAAAAGATTAAACCATTTGATGCATCTCTATCTACAAAAGATCAAACATTTCAACAAGTTTTGTAAATTTGTATTTATGTACCTGAGATAAGATGATGGGTCCACCTTGTGACGCAAAGAATCTATGGTCTTTCATCATCTGAACAATCTTCTGAGTGAAACCTTGCATCGCAGCCTTAAAAAGAACACGCAAATGTTACAGTAATATCCAAAATTGAACAGAGTAAAAAACATTGAAGATCGAAAATTCATTTACCTTGAAAGGTCCATTATCTGTTCTGAAGCTAATCCCAGGTACATACTTCAACCAAACAGGAAATCCTCTACACGATTTTCAAAAATTCAAAATTCAAAAATTGGAAGAAGTAATTAATAAAAATTGTTTTTTTATTGTCTTCATTAATTGAATTTGAACATTACCCAAAATTCCATTCTGCACAAACGTAAGGACCGATTCTGAGATGAACATAAAGCCCCACTTCTTGTACCGTCTTAATGAATCGTACCAAATCGTATCGATCTTTGAAATTGTACTGCAAACAAAACAAAACAAAAACCCACTAATTTTCTCAAATCTGATTTCATAAAAGCTTCAAACTTTAATGAGATAGATTTAACAAAACCAAGAAGAAAGATGAGTTTTTTTATTTTACATTCCCAGGAGAAGGTTCATGACCATTCCAGAAAACATAAGTGTCAATAACATCCAAGCCTCCATCTTTAGCCTTCTTTATAAGATCTTCCCACATCTTACAGCCAAAAAGAAAACAAAAGATCAAACAAAACCCAAATTTTCTCAGAAATCATCAAGAGATTCGTTTACCTCAGGGGTGCTTCTTGGGTAATGAATGGAGCCGGAGAGAAGGATTCTACGGTGGCCATTAACGATGATTGCTCTCTTATCGTAGGTTACGCTGCACTGGATCATGGCCGATCCAACCAGCATTGCTGTTAGCAAGAAAGTTAGGATCTTGGAGAGAACCAGGATGGTTCCCATTTTGTTTTTTTTGTGAAGACGAAATGTGAGAGATTTGAGAGGGAATTTGATTCTTTCAAAAAAAAAAAAATGAAAGATCAGAAGAGAATGAAAACTCTGAGTGTCGTTGGTTTGATGTACCTCTGGTTTCGTCGCCCGCTCTTTGTAAATTTTTGTATATATAAAACATAAATTGGTATTAGTGAATTAGTTGAAAACAAAAAATAAATTTAATGGAGCTTTCCAAATAATTAAAATTGATTGGTAGGAGTATTACTTTGTTTGCATTAACTCATTTTTATAGTAGTGTTTATTTCTGTCTACAAAGTGATTTTTTCCTATAGATGTTTTCCAATTAATTGGTTGTTGTGAACGCTGTAGATTAAGAGAGATTTATTGTTTTGTGTGCTTTCTTTTACTAATTTGAATTTCACACAAAATGACATGTTATCCAATCACTGATTTTAAAGAAAAATTGTTATTTTTATTCTAATTATTATCTGTTAAAATCTAGTGTCATAATGGGTTCTATGTCTTGGAAAAAAAAAAATTACTTCATATTTGATATCTCACAAGGTTTTAATAAATAACACTCTCATTCTACATTTGATTTCTCATCAGGATTTAATTGGTAAAATTTGCAAGAATTTTCAAATTCAAAAATTCATAACTTCATATGCACAGGTAACACTTGTTGACAAAAAAAAGGAAAGTAACAGTTGTTATTTTGGATAGGAATTTTATGATAATGGTCATATTTTATGCAGAAGCCTCAATAAATTATGTTTTAAATCAGTTTTCACCGAGATTTGTAATTTAAGAGCATTTTCAATGGAAGCTTCTAAGAGAGGTTGTGATCAATATACTGATCAAAATTAAATGAAAAAATAGATAATTATGTATAGAATAGATTCTGAAGTGAGAATTTTTAGAATCCATTAGAATCCTTGATGTGTCGCATTGTAATTGGATAAAACTTTTTTTTATAGTTTTTTTCACTGATCAAACAAAAAAACTTTAGTTTTTAGAATCCTCAATTAGGATTCTATCATTGGAGGAGAACAATTTTAAGAATTTTTAAAGAAGCTTTTAATTTTAAAATTTTCAAAATTTATATTAAAAATAATGATAAGAACCTACGAGGGATTATTAGAGCAAGTGCAACGCGAAAACTCTTAATGAGAATCTTACTTAATATTTAATTAAAAAAATATGTTAAAAACCTTTGTTAAGGTATTATTGTTTTCTCTCCTCCAATAGTAAAACCACATTAGGGATTTTTTTTTTTAAAAAAAAAAAAGCAGAGTCGGAAGCATTTGTTGCAAAGCTTGAACACTGGCTCTCAAATGAAGATCGACAAACTAACAGAGCAAATCAGAGAAAAACCAGAAACTAATTACTAAAGTGATACAGTTTGGGGGAAAAAAACTACCCATTTACATGATTGATGATGAAGAGAGAGAGAGTGATGATTAGAGTCTACATTTATTTCAGCATAATTTTGATGTTAGGGCAAAGTATCGTCTTCGCCGCAGCAGAATCGTCCTTCTTCGCCGGTGTTGCCACTTCAGTCTTGTTGTGCTTTCTCTTCCTCTACTTCAAATTCGCAGATCCACCAGAGATGGCTCGAGACGCGACGTGGTAATTGGCACAGACAGATCCTCTATTGAATCACATCAGAGAAGAGAAGGAAAGGAAAGAGATTGTTTTATCTCTCAAACATCTATATCCAATCAAAACTTGACACTTGCCAACTAAAAATCATATCTTAAAATGCTTAATTAAGAATCGCATCTTCGTTTCCTATTTAGTTTTCATTTAATTTTATTACCTAGATTACTAAGAGCATCAGCAATGCAGAGGCGGACAAAAAGTTCCAAACTTTTTTTATTATTAATATTTTTTTTTTTTTAAATCGATTTTATAAAAAAAAAATTCGATGAATCACGTCGTGCCACGTCAGCGAAGAGTTGCTCCTTCAGCCCCTGCGCAAAGAGACGCCTCTCTCCTTAAGTCTCGTCATATTATTAAAAAAAATCTTTTTTCTTTTTTTTTTCCTTACCTTATAGTTTCACTGTCAAACTCTACATTGCGGATGCTCTAAAAATGCTTCCTAAGAAACCGCGTTGCACTTGCTTTTACCATTGGAGATGGTCTAAATTTTTTTTATTAGTGTTACCATTATATAAAAAGTCAAATTATAAACTAGAGAAAAGAAAAAGTTTTTTTGTTAATTGAATTATTTTAAGGAAAGCAACAAGGGACAAAAGTTAAAAGCTTTGAACTGGCTCCACATGGAAGGCCGTAAGCAAAAAGCATCAACGTCGCAACAACAATTTATTCTACCTTTTAATATTTGGCAGTGTACAGTAGCTTAATTACAGCAATTAAAGTTTATGTGAAAGGGACAAGCAGAAATAAAATCAAAATTAGAAAGAAGTTTCTCTGATTAGTATTGATGTGTCAGAACTCAGACGATCGTTAGGTTGATCTAGAAACTATACATATACAGTGGTGAATATGTATAGAAATCCATTCTATTTCTCATCTAAAGGAAAGTGAACCATATTTGATGAAACAAAGAAAAATAAAAGTGAACCGTATGTTTAGTAATATAGCTCGCATGTCAACGCATATCATTGAGAAAAGGGGACCCAATGCTAATAACATTTATAGTTTTAGGGAAAAAAATATCTCTAACAACTATACCAACTATACTTGTTTAATTATTACATAAATTAAATCAAGATATTTAAAATCATTATTACACCATACCAACGTTGAAAACATCTTAGACTTAGAGGCACTAATTTACCATAACACTCATTATATTTTTCGTTATAGTATACGAGAGATAGGAGTCAAGTCATGATGATTCATTAAACAGTGAACAAACAGTGTTTTTTACAGAGAAAACACCCTAAAAAATTCCAAAAACTGGTGAAATCTACGTTCACGTACAAGTTTCAAATTCTGCTAAAAAGAGTTGTCATTGTACTCAGAAGATATATATAGTACCGAATTTTCTGAAATATATATGTAAGCAAGATAGATTATAAATTCCAAAGGTTGCAAACATTTGTTAAAATTTTCAAAATTGTAATTTAAGGTTTTAGAAAAGTATCAAAACCTTCCAAGAATATTTATTTCATTTTTTTCCTGTGTTAGATATTTTCAACCCAAAAACGCAATGAATAGTGCTCACAACATTTTTCAGGGTCCAATAAATAGTTTCCGAAACGACAAGTTTCTATTAAGTAATAGACAATTTGTAAAAAGGTTAACTGTTAAAGACCAAATGTGAAAGTGTTATCTAAACAAATTAAAAAGCTAAAAATTAAGAGAGAGCTGTTTGGCTAACGACCTTTTAAAAACTCATGGACTAAACCGGACTACATAGAAAAGAAAACAGGACTTCAAGTCGACAAGTTAATGTTTAAACTTACACTAAAATCAATAACAAAATAGGCCAAATTAAACTCACAATAACCATACCGACTAATACAAAGTTGATGAGATTATGAATTAGGTATGATGTTGAAATCATAATTTATAATACAGTAATAGGAATCGGACCATAGAACATGTGCGATAACGACAAGAAGAAGAAGAAGAATCACGGTGATGGTTTTGCTGGGCTCCATAGCATGTGATCGTGAATGAGATTTACATCTCATTCTTCTTCAATCTTTTATTTTATCCCATGCATTACTTATAGTATTATAATAATAATAATGAAATTTAAAAATAATCAGCATTATATGTATTTTAATTTTGTTTTTGGGTCGTGGACGACAGTATACTTATGTCTCAATCCATGTTCATATACTTTGGTTTCACTCCACTTCCATCCAAAATGATTAAAACTTAGCTTCCACGAGGAATTTGAGCATGTGCCCACCATCTTACTATTAGCCTTTTATCCATAAATAAATTTGGACCGACGATTTTGTTACTTGTGCCACCTCTTGGCTCTTGTATTTAGTAAAGAGAATATGATGTCACTTTCTGTTTATATGAAATAAGTGTGATTAGTGAAATCATCATCAATTTGAAGTTTCAAATATTTCTGTATTTTTTTATATAAACCAAAACCAACTCTTTGTATTTTCTACGTGAACAACTACCGAAATAATAAAATAAATTTGATTATTTGCATCTCTCCAACAACTACTAATAATTATTTTTGTATTAAATTTCTAAAACCAACCCTCTACTCTAAAAATTTGTCCGAATGGTGCAAGTCATGTATCTTGCATTGCAGCAAAACATACATGAAAACCTATTAAACACTTTAATTCCACTATTTTATTGATTGTTCTAAACTCTATTGTTGAACTCAGTTTGACAATATGTTCTTTAAAATTTGAGTCTACATATTTTTAAATTAGAGGTGTTCGAAAAATATCTGCAATTTAATAAATAATTCTACAAACTAATAAATCAGACTGAATTGGAAAATGGAAAGATTTGTACAAATTATATTTTTCGTCACTATTTTTTAAAAAATCATTATATATATATAATATATATATATATATTAGATATCTGTAATTCGAAGATTTGAACTCTTAAAAACAATTACAAATGTTTTCAAAGAGATAATATTAGCAAGCTAAGTCAATCAAGCCGCAGAGAAACTCACTTGTAGAAGAAAGAAATCAAAGAACCTATGACAAGCGTTTCAATCTGTCAAACGGACGCAGCATGGCGAGAAGAATCCAAGACCGCAAGGCTTGGTTGGATTATGTCAAACCAACGACAAAAAAAATCCTTTAACTATTAGATTCTAGATTATGTTGTAAACTAATGCTTTATAAAGAAAAGCAAATAAGAATTTAAAATTTTTTGAACTTCAGAGAAAAAGAGAGAAAAATAAACATAAGAATTTTATTTTTTTCTTTTTCTGAACTTATGATTTTACAAAGAATGAAGTTACCTATTTATAGAAAAAACCTAATTTCATAGTA